TTTATTGAACTATCTTGCGCTCGTCTCCTACCTACTCGCCAGCAGTAATCGGTAATCAGTTCGTAATTTAGTCAAAAGTATTTCGTGGAATCGGGAAAACACACATGGAAATAGTGATTCGAAGTGACAGGCGACATTGTTTATGGGCTGGCAGCAGGTCATTTCAGGTGACACACATAACTGCAGTCGAGTGTGAGTGTTTGTGTGTGTGTGTGTGTGGAGTTGAGCGATAAACGCCTTAATTTCAATTTCATTATCTGCAGCTATAGCTTTATCACATGCTGAAACCGCTCCGAAAGCGCACAAAAACAAAGCAACCACATTTGAGAGGCACTGCCTTTGGCTGAGTCTTGATTAATTTGATGTACAATTTCATTTGCTAAGATTTATTGCGGCGTTTGTTGGCACTGTTCAAGATACATATGTAAATCCATTTTGTCAACTCTTTTGTTGCTGCCTTTGTTCGCCTTCTATTGTGGTCTATTGTGTTGGGTTTTTAATTTCGTACTAAACTTTTAATTCGAATTGCCACGCTTCGAGTTCCCAGCTTTACAGTTTACTCTTCTGTATATATATCTATATATATATACATATATATATATATATGTTTGTATGTATATATAACATATATGTAAGTGTTTGTGTTTCACTAGATTCCACTTTGAGCGTTTTTTTTATTACTTTTATTTGCATTTTAAGCTGATTTATATTTTATTCCAAAATACTTGTATGTGCAGGTATGCATGTGTGTCAGTCAGTATTTATGCCGCTTAACCGAAAATTGACAAAGCTCAATAGGTTTCTGCGTTGCGCTTAGATTTCGAACAATACGCTCAATGAGTCGTTTTCATATGTGATTTGTTATTTATTCTCTTGCCACTTATCGCCGAAAAAGATCAGTTGCTAATATGAATTTACAACTTGCGGGGACAATGCTATTCATTATTGCTGCCGCACACAATACAAATCGCCGAGAAGTGTGTTCAAATTTTTAACCAAACACGATGTACATATGTTTTTGTACAAGAAGACACAAGCACACACCGCCTCAGAGCAAAATGGATATCAGAAGAGCTGATATATGTGTACATTTTTATGTATAAACATATGTCTATATATATACATATGTATTTATGATTGTTTGTACAAAAGCAAATCGGTGCCACCTTATGGCGACTTGTTGAAAGCTTAATTGCTCGGGAATTATTTTATTGGCTGCTCAATAAACGGCCGTTCATGCTTTGGAAATTTCGATAATTATGAAGGCTAATGAATGACAGCCCATTTTATTGAAATATACTTTAGTATTTGTCGGTTTTTTGAGAGCATTTTGTTTATCAATTTCGTTGATTTAAAAAAGTCAAATGTTTTTTTAATAATTGAAATTTTCAGAGAGGAAAACCAAATTTCTGTCTAAGATAGGAAGATGTACAATTTTCGTGATGTTTAAAACTGAGAGCGTAAATCACCTACCACAAACTTTGACAGTTGACTGGATCTGCCAGGTTTGACGTATAGCAACTACAATGACTGGTACGACCAAATTGAAACGCTGTAAAAAAATCTGATCGGAGAGTTTTGTAACCGCCGTTCAAGATCACTAATAAAAACGTAAAAATGTAGCAAGCAAAACTCCTGTTAATTCACCTACGGTAAATAAGAACACAAAACTGCTTACAGTATAGCTGGGGAGTAATTTAGTTATGTACCATAAAGTGTAGCTAATCAAATAAAAAATTTAATATTTTAATAATAGCAATAATTATTGTGGCTGAAATAAAATATGCTCGGGTATCAACGTCTACTCCTACTGTAAACATATATGATGAGCTCATAAAAAAATATCCTAGGAGTCCAATTGCTAACATAGCATAAATTATTCCTAAGAACCCGAAAGTTTCCTTTTTACTTGATTCTTGACTAACAATAAGGAAATTGTTCCAAGTCCCGGTAAAATGAAAATGTAAAATTCGTGGTGTTCAAAGAATCTACATAAATGTTGGTATAGAATGGGTTCTCCTCCTCCTGCTGGGTCGAAGAAACAAGTATTTAAATTTTGGTCTGTTAATAACATTGTGATAGCTCCTTCTGGGACAGGTAATGACAATAAAATGAGTAGAACTGTCAAATGAAATTCAACTTTAAATTTTATCAAAGCTAGTCCAAGCTTTCCCAAATGTGTACTTCTAGAAACTCTTAATATGAACGCTAAAAAAATATTTGCAGTGAAAGGATTGAAATAGAAAAGACTGAAGAGTTTCGGAAGTAAATCTTCAAATATTTCATAATTTCTCATTCTGGTAATCGACTCATATCATGTATTTAAAATATTCTTATATTCGCTCAACTGGAAAGTCTTCCTAATAATTTTTAGACTAATTTCATACTGGTGCTTCTGGTTTATACCAGATTACAAAAACGTTAAAGATCTAGAGCTTTTATGCCATTTTATAATGAATATTCAATAACTCTTTCACTCTACAAGAAATCAAGCTAAATCAAAGAGGATAGCTAAAAACCTCCTCCTTCACTCAGGCAGATTGTTTCGAGGATATTTTTGGGCAGGAAAGAAATAGGGTTTATAGTTATGTACTTAAACATTATTCACAAATTTTTTGGATACGAAATCTTTGCTATTCTGCCTTTGGAAGCATTTGCCCGTTGCATCTCGCATGAGCATTTGTCGGACGGCGAGCAGGATACAGATCGCAATTTCTATCGGAAACAAAAAATTCAAAGAGACTTATAATTTTTAATAATTTACCTTCTATTTAAACTAAAAAAATTCTAAAAAAAATTTTAAAATTTTCGAAATTTTTTAGAAATTGTAAAAAAGTGGTTTTTGACCAAAATTATTTTACTTTATGTTGTTTAAAAATATGTTCAAACTTGACTTTTCTCAGATTTTATAAAATAAATAGAGGATAACGTAATGCCAAAGATAATAATTTTTACCCCAATTCCATACGACGTTTAGTTTTTTTCTATCCTGCCCGCCGATTAAGAAATACCGTAAAAATGAAAAACCGAGAAATAGCGCGTCTAACTTTGCGCTTTCTCCCCAATCGCTCATATATCTGCTGGACGCTCGGTCACTATTTTCCTCCTAGCTTCGAAAAAATTTCAAATTCAGATCTAAACTTTGGGAACATATTCTTAGATTATTTTTAAAGATTTTTAAGCAAAAACAAAAACAAAAATCGATGTTTTGAAGCTTCTAAATCAGCTTCTAAATTAAATTGTGGATCAGCGGTGTGAGGGATCTTGCAAGCTGCTAAGAAGTGAATAATGACTAAATAGAAGTATAAATGGAATCAAAAAAACATCGTAACTTCAAAATCGGGACAAATCCTTACACAAATCAGTATGAGGAAAAGAGAGTGTTCATAGACAGATCAAAACATTTTGTAAGGTCGTATTTACAAGGGGTATTGAAGTTTTAATGCTCAAACTAATATAAGATACCGAATAATGAGATATCGAAAACTATTTCCCAAATGGGTTTATGCCTGCATATAACTACCTTCAAGCCGAATTCAGATTACTTAATAAGGAAAAAATACCCTTATATTGACTCTGATTGGTCAGTTTGTATGACAGCTCTATGTTCATGGAACTATATTTGCTTATTCATCACATCTCTTCGTCATCTTGAAGATATATTGTCAAATGAAGTGTATTTTGACCGATCGGTTTCTATGGAAGCCATACCCTATAGTGGTCCGTAATCGACGGGTCTGACAAATGACCAACTTTCAGACGTGTATCCTAAAAACGAGGGACTACTTCGCGCATATACAGACAGATGGATAGACTGCCATGGCTAAATCGAATATGCACGCCACGCTGATAATTATATAAAATCGATATTTTCTATGTCGCAAGGTTCAGGGTAAAAAGAGCATTTCTGGTGTTTCATTCAAAAGCCAATTGAAAATTTATTGTTGTTTGTGAATCAATTTTAGGTTGGATATTTATAGAAAGCGTAGAGTGAAATAGGAAAACAAATTATGGATTGAATGTGAAGAGCGTTGAGATCTAAAAATGTCTCTCAACTTATCGAAAATAATTTCATCCATGTTTGTTGAAATAATTTGTAGAATTTTTGTAATATTTCTATGCAAAACTCAACCGACGAGCTGGAGCGACACACAGCGGTCGACGTCGGCACTAACACAATTCCAATTAGACACGACCACCAATGCAATCCTGTAAGCAGCCCCCATTACAAAAAAACGACGAGAGCCACAAGACAACAACAATGCCGCTATGCTGCTAAAGCAACAAATCAACAGCTGTGATGGACGCTAACATGTTTAACGCAACGAAATGTATTGAAGGCGAAACAACGCGAACATGTTCGTAAACAATTCGAAATCGCTGCAGGGGCCAGGCAAATGGATGGCGCAGCAAGTTCGGCTGCTCCTGCAACACGTTGTGTTTGAGTTCGCTTTGCACTTGCGCACTATTAAAAGCATGCAGACGCTGTAAATGGGGACCTGAGCTGTTGCAAGTGGAGAATTTCTTCTGCAGTCGGCGCTGTAGAACAGCGGCTGCATTCTACAGCTATTTTCTAGCAGCGCTGAACTAGACCAACTTTCGCTGCGCGCTGGCGTTTAACCTCAGCGAAGGTTAGTGGCGCTGCAACAGCCGCTGCGTAAAGGGTGGTGTACAGCACTGACGGTCAACGTCGCTGCTAACGTCAGGCACAAACGGCAGCTTGACGATGGCTTGCGCTGCTGCTCTCCTACTCTCCACAAAATAATCCAATTAGTGTGGCTGGGTTCTATGAGCATCTTGTGGTGGTGGCATTATTTGTACATTCGGGTTTGCCTGTCAGCCTGCCCGGGATGACTCTGGCTTAGCTCTGGCTGTATGTGCAGGCTGATTTTGCCTGTGCATTGTTGTTGTGGACGATGGCAGCGCTGTCGGCGTCTGGACTTCGGTGCTGTCGTGTCGATTTTGTAGAAAATTTCTGCAAAACACAGTTTAGTGTAGACTCCCCGAGGTTTCGGTTGTATCGACAGTAGTTGTAGTGCGTGTGAGCGAGTCGCAAAGCCGTCGGTGTTTTGATTATTTGCTGCTGGATTGAAAGAAAAGATATTGTGCTGTTTTAGAAATTATCTTGTTTGCTCGTTTTTTGGCTGTGCCACAAATATCGCTGGCTCCAGCGTTTTGCAAAAAGTGAATATAGAGGTGTGTACGGCCGGTTGGGTGTGTGTGTTTGTATAGAAGGCTTTGAGAAAAAATCACGTTTTGAAGCGGTCGATTAAACTGCGATTAAAGCGTGACACCGTTCGTGCTGTGTTGCGCTTTGTTGTTGGTGGTCTTATTGTTTATTGTAGTTGTTGCTTTGGAGGTCAGTGAGCGCCAAACGTGTTATTCACGCGATGCGAGGGCAAACGGGACAATCGGGTGTGCAAAATCGATTGCGTGAATAAATATAAACAAAATTGAAAACGATAAAGCGATATTTTTGTTGTTGGTTGTGCCAAAGTGTGATAAGAACTCCCGGTTAATAAAAGAAAACAATAATTAAATTGTTTTTATTTTTTTAGCAAATCGGGTGCAGGTGTAGTTGGCAGTGTAGGCGTTTTTCAAATGCAATATGGCAACTCCAATATGCGGTAGTAAGAAAATAACCGCACAAAATTTTATTTTTATATGAAAATTTAACTTTTGACGATATCTTAGTTGTGTTTTTTTGATAAAATAAACTGTTAGCATTAAGTTAATACACATTTACTTCAGACTCCAGGCTGTTAGTTTGTATCTCAGTATCAGCTGATTTGAGAAAGTTTTTTGGAGACTCTGCATGCAAACCAAAAATTTACCGTTATTTTAGGGTAAACATTAAATTTTACAACTCGAAAATCGAGTTATCGAATTTTATGCCATAAACTTATAGATAAATAAAGTGGCATATGGAAATTGCAGTTAATGATTCATATAGTGTCATAAAGCTAAAAGTTATAACAATCCTAAGAGTTTTTCAAAGAGTTATTTCCGATTTCATGCAAATGTATAAACAAATTCTAGTGAAAATCAACTGAAAAATCGATTAGCAATAAATTTTTGAATAATGAGGGCGCTATTTATTTCAAATGAATTTTTAAAAATTCAGAAAAAGTTAACTTGACTAAATATGGTTTAAGGTGAGAGATATTTTCACATTAATGTCGATTATTTTCTTATTGGAAATTGATTTGTGATACGAATTGGAATTTTAGTTTGCATTCTTCTTGATTTTAGTTTGCATTAAGATTAGAAAATCCCAACTTCATTTCAATATTAACTAATAAAAAATAAATTTCATTGGAAAAAATAACGAATTTAAGGCTGCTTTCTCAAAGTCTGATTACCAGCCTTTTTGTTCAGTTAAAAGCGTTGTCCGCTTAATAGATTCTTCTTAATAAACATCAATAATGTGCTTAACTGTATTTTTTATTTATGAATTGTTTTTACTATCCTATCTGCTAAGTTCGAACTGGACACAGGGTGCCAAATTTTACTAAAATCTGTTCAGTAGTTTAGGAGTCCATCGCGGGCAAACAACGTGACACGTACTTTTTATGTATAAAGATAGGAATTAACATTGAAAAACTCAATTCGCAGTTAGGAACTGAAAATATAGGCTAGCTCATGACATTTCATAAAAAGTTATTTAAAGTGAAATTGTGCCACATATTAGGATATTGCGAAGCATATATCTATAAGTTTGGTACTTTGTGTAACAAAATTCAGTCCGGCCGTTAAAATAACAAATCCATTTTGCTTGCAGATTGAAAGCAATCACTAAAACACAAATGATCTCAAAGAACTCAAGGAACTCAAAAAAGTGTTTGAATAACTCTATCCAAAACCTATAACAAATCGTAAGCGTGAAAAAATAAATAAAGAAACATTTGAATTTAACAAAAACAAAAAAAAAGGCAAAACAATCTCAACATGCCACATATAGCTGCCACAGGAGCAGCCTATTTCAGCGCCACTTCAACGAAGCTGGCACCCACTACACACAGGCGCTGGCTGACACTGCTCCTCGTGGGCTGCGTGGCCAGTTTGTGTGGCAATGCGGTGCAAGCCAGCCCGCTTTCGCCAGCAGGTGATTATCCTGGTATGGCGGACAATACAAATGTGAGGAACTCACTGCAAATGCGGAGTCTGTCAGACCCGAGTGGACAAACGCGACGCGTGGCATGCCGCCGCGCTTGTTGGGCCATGGTGAGTACAAAGATAATCACTTTTTATGATAAACAAAGAGGGACAGGAAAATATGTGCATCAAAACAAAATAAACATTTTTGAAGGCATCTGCCTATATCGTATATACACACATGTGTGTGTGTGTGTGCGTGTTGCCTTTGCAACACATGTTTTCATGTAGTCGAGGGGAGTTTTAAATAGAATTGATAGCAAATCCCTTTATCCGCCGCATTGATGGAATCCTATTCAATTTGTTATTTTTGTTTTTCAATGATTTTTTTTTTCTTTTGCTTTTGCGAATTTCCGCAATTACTTTGATGGATTTGTTGGATTATTTTCGGCGTTGTTGCACTGCAATACACACGCAGTGTACTTGTATGTGCCGCAAAGTGCCACACGCACACACGCGCACGTATGTTTGTTTGCCTCTGATGCGGGTTGCTTGCCAAAGKGGTTGCTGGACACACAAACACCCGCACATATGCCTCATGAAGCCTGTGGCATGCAAGCTTCGACTTGACAGACCTCACGTGTGAGTGACTAAGTATTTGCAGCATAGCTTAACCCACATCCAATCAACAATAAGTCCCCTCACTCATTTCTTGATCCCTAACTCTGCGCTTATATTCCCACCCGCACTTCTGCGGCTGCGTCTATGAGCCATGCAACGGAGAAATGTTTTCATTTCGCATTTTCATGTTTTAATTTTGCACTCGCTTAGAATTTTAAGCAGTTGGAAAAACAAATCAACTCGTCAACCCACTCGCCAAGCCACTACCTTAACTGGCTTGTGTATTACGGTACATAGTTGGTATGCAGAACTCGGTCGAACGAAGTGCATAAGCGCTCGCATACAGTGACAGCGCACGCAGCATGACAAAAGTCCATAGCTCTCCGCCCATATCCGTAGGACTCTGGCTCTCGTCTATCAAGCAACCTTCATTGCGTCTGCTTTCCTGTGCTGTGCGCTGTTGGGCGAGGCTTCGCTGTAATTTGTGGACAGTTGCATTTCAAATGCCCTTAGGGCAATCACATCAGGGCGCCTTCGACTAATGAAAATATACTGCCAAATACAATTGTATGCTGCATGTGTAGCCGTATTTGATGTGCGGGAAGTTATATTAGATGAGCTGTCCTGCCCATTTGTATGTGTGTATAGTTCAAAAGTATTTTCGGAAATATCGGAAATATTTTTTTACAGCCTCGACTTGAAAGTTCTGGTGTTACAAAATATTTAGTTAATGATTATATTAATAACTTGGCGTTGAAAGTACATAAATATTTTTATTTTAAAGACTTTCTATTATGTTTTTCTGTAGTTCTCGAATATTTATTTACATTTATTTGTTAATCAAATTCCAGCGTAATAAATGTCTTGTAAGCTCCAGGCGCTTTGTTCTAGGCCTTACAACGTTTAAGCGTCTCTAGCAAACCACTGGCGGTTATATCTAACCTAACTTAAGTTACCCTATTTATAGAATGAGCGACTTTAAAAATAAGATGAAACTTCATAGTATTATTTCCTCGTTATCCATACAAGGAACCGTAATTCGGCTTTAGTCGAAAAAACTATAAACTTCTGACAAATAATATATGTGTGTTAAGACCGCAGTAGTGGTTACTTAGCAGACCATATAAGAGGTGAATATTAGTCTACAACACTCTTCGTCATACATATTTCCTGTTATATACTCATTAAAGCTTTTCGTAACCTTGCACAATATCCATTCTATGTTATTGTGTACATCGCTTCCTTGCAAAGAGCATTGGGTTGCCTAAAAAGAAATTATTATAAACCCAATAACCTAATAAACCTTTCAAATTTTTTACTGTAAATAGTTTCGGTGAGATTAGCATGTTTGTAAGAATTTTCGCGTTTTTCTCATAAAGCTGTTTTCTTTCGTAAGTATGTTTTTCGGTATTGATGACACAAATATAGTTTGTAAAAAAAATTTCGATTATTTAAGCCACTCTGAAGTTAAAATTATTTACGAAAAAAAACTTTTAATTGGACGCCGCCATTTTCTCTAAATCAAAATTTTAAATAATTCGTTATATTTATATATTGCTTTTTTTAGTTTTTAGATCTGAGAAAATTTTAAGCCAACAAATTTTTCTCGCCGGCAGACACCTTTTTTCAGAGGTCTTTCTGTAAACAAGCGAAAGGAACAAGAAAATTCAAAATTTATCAAAATCAATGTAAAAGTAAAGTGTGTAAAGCCCCAACACTTGGTACGGAGATTAAATTTACTTAGCCTTGTATTTATATTTTTTTGTTTACAAAATAATATTTAATTTTTCTAATTTCATCAAAAGTATTATTGATGACGTCCGACACATTCTCGACCCATCCTCGACCCATGCGTTTAGACTCCTGCACAAACTTTGAATTGGTTGGAATCCATTTGTCCGGCAACCCTTACGTACTCTTCCATCCGCTCCAACCTCATACATACCAAACTTTCTCGTTGGTTGAAAAACACGGCTACTCAAAAGTTCACGAGGTTTTCTCCAAATCGATTGCTCTCCATTTTTTTCCTGTACCTCTTTACTTCACAAAGTTAACTAATTGATCAGATGCCTTTTACTACATTTGTAAATATTCTCTGGAAAGCATCTTCATTAATGCCATTAATTCCGCTGTGTTCGCACACACAATAATAAGTATTAAGGAGAATATACGGTTAATTTAATATGATTTATTTATTTAAAAATTTAATAATTACATGTGTATTAACCAATACTCGGCTATAACCCCATAAGCGTTGCCGATGCCAATAAAGAAGAAGAAGATGTGTGTGTGTGTGTATTATTGTTGTAAATTGTGATACTAAGCTTCAAAATAGCTTGTACGCTCAGGTTAGGATAACTGAGACTAGCGGTTCTATGAATCTTGTTTGGAAAACTTTTGAAATGGGTTTCGGATTATACATTTCAGCAATTAAATTCATTATGACCACATTTCAGATATTTGAAGAAAATATTTTATTACACAAAATTACTTAGAAGTTCGCTATTTGCTACAAAGAAATTACCACTGACGTGATAGAAGGTAAAGATCCACACCGAAGCTGTCGTCATAAAAATCTATAGAAAATGCTTTTTTTTATCAAATTCATTTTTTTGCTACCAAAATGAAACTATTTCGAGTTATTCTGTATATTTAACATAAAATAGAGAAACACTTTATATGCATATTGTACATATTTATGTTTATATATTTTTTTATGTGCTAAAACTGATGTGTCATGAAAGCAAACTGTTTTCATTTTCAAATCCTAAATGACATTTGACCCAAATTAACCTGATGGATCGGCAAGTAAATACTTGCTCACATACACCAAACACATGCTGTGTATTTTAACAATGTTTTTTCAAGCAATAACTGCCCTGAATCTGATTTTGATAATATGCAGCAGCTGTGAATTTGCATTTCTAATTCGGAGGCAAAGAGGCCAACCACAGTGAACAACGGCAAGCACAACTCTACGGGACAACTTATAAGTGCGTTCTGAACACACACACATATGTGAATGTATACATTTACTACACATATGGATAAATAGCACACGACATGTATGTGTGATTGTCTATGTTTGTGTGCAATATGTGCATATATTGCAGCATTAGAGGCAACTGCGGACCAACATGCATCAAGAGTCCATGGAAAACTATTACGCACACTTGGCACTCAGCTCGTATTTAGATTAAATTAAATTTTATAAAGTTGTGCAATTCACAAAAACTTTTTGTTGCATGTTGCCACTGGGAATGCTGGAATGAAATTCAAATTTGAAAAGAGCAGCGCCGAAAAAACTCGGTAAATAGATGCATATGTGAATGCAATGCAGCTCTGACATGCACGCGGCATGCAACGGTCTGCATATATGTGCACCAATACACAAATGCGTGCGTGTGTGTGCGTCTTTTCGTTTTTGACAATTTTGACAATTTCATTTTCTGCATTGCTGACAGCAGTTGTCAGGCGCTATTGCTGTTGTTGCTGTTGCTGCAGCACAGTTGCATAACTGCAATGGATTCGCTGTGCAACGAGGCAAGCTGTTGCCGCCCGAACCGTATGCTTGCCGAGTTTACGGCCAAAATGTGCCAATTTCTGTGTACTTTACATTCGCAAGCGCTCATCGCTCCGACAGTGTTATCTGCTCGTATTTATATTTGCATAGTTGTTACATGGCAGTGTCAATGCGTGCTTGCGTATGTGTGTGTGTGTGTGTGCATTTATTGTGCAATTATTTGCATACTCGCAAAACAATATGCAAATTGATAAAACGGAAATGCAGCACTCAAACTCACTGCCACATAAACAAACGCGCACATATTTACATATATCACGTACACACACACACACGCGCACCTGCTTGCAGTTTATCCGAAGTAAACGCAAATATTTAGGGAAATGAACTGTTTCGTGTGTGGCAAAAGTAAAAGTGCTGTAAGGCTGGCGGCGTGTGTTTGTGCATTTTGCTAAGCGAAAGTTAGCTGCTGAAATGTACCGTTACATGGTCACTTGTCTAATGAAAATATTTCAATTGAAAGGAGAGAGTGGCGAGTCGTTTGTTACTTAATTCGGCCAGCATGCAAGTTGCACTATGCATTATGGTCAAATTGAGATTGGTATACAGGGTGCGCCATCCTCAACGTCGGTATGTAAAATTTTGAACAAAGTTAACAGTTACTGCTCGATTGACTTCTTTAAATAGGAAACCTCAACCCAGTGCAATTCTGATCACAAGTCGCTTTTTACCGAAGCCCAACCGAAACAACCCGCCGAGATAGTAACACCGAACATTGAAAATAACTTAGATTAACTTAACCGATATGCGTTGTTAGAAAATCGTGGCCAAAAGTTTATATCTCTTATTGCGATTTTTGAACGTTTTTGAGCACGGAACGGAGCACAAATCGAGAAACTCCACGAACACACTGCGGATATTGAAAGCTATCGAAAAAGTGTTGCACAAAATTCACAAGAGTCTTATTGTCGCCAAGCTCGACATT